AATTGGAACTTTAAGGATCATTTTGCCTTGGACTCTGATTTAATTCTACATGATACCTGGAACGCTGACACAGGCATTCTGCTGATGGGGCTGGGGTGGGGGTGGGGCAGTCCCCCCATTCTTCTGGATACTCACTTTCAGTCGTCCCCATCACAAAAGAGATCTTTCCTGGTGATCTTCCTGGCAGTGCTGATGGGAGCACCTTGGACTCGGGGTCTCCAGCGGTCTCAGTGTCTGTTCCAGCAATTGTCCCATCCTCTTTCAGCCATCAAGAAAACGAAGAGAGAGGGAAAGTTGGGGGGGAAAAAACCACATAGATTTATCTCTTTCCAGAATATAAATCGGCAGTTTCTCATTTTCCAAATCAATTTTTCAAAGTTGCTTATTTTAACAAGTTTCTCTTGTTTCAAAGGAAGAAAGAACAAAAGCCCATTTGTCCAGGATTAAAGCAAAGAAACAAAACAACACCTGAAGCTCAACCAGAGCACCATGAAAGAATGTTTATGTCTGTTATGCTATGTTGTTATGTTTTATGTTATAATATGCTGTTTATGTTATATTGTGCTGGGTCATATTTTAGGTCAGTGATGTCTAACCATTTCGCCCTCGTGTGCCAAAAGTGTGCACACATGTGCCCACAACCATAATAAAATGCGCGCACCCACCCACCCCCATTCCACGACACACACACACACACCAGGGCCTCACTGAAGCCTCCTGGGACCAAAAAAAGGGCACAACCCCCCCCTCCCCCACATGCCTTGTATGCAGCTTTATTCCTGTCTAGCATTCATCTCCATTGTTCAGTGATGCATTTCCTTCCTCTCTAGGATTTACCTCTACCTGCTCTTGTGAGGCACTTCCTGTTCCTATTAAATTCTTGATCGCTTGCATAGTGCTTTGCAGAGACCTGAAAATCAACTAGCTGGCAGAAGGCACGTACTTGGTGGAGCTCAGCTGGGCGACCGCTCGCATGGCAGCAGAGGCCTCCGCGTGCCACAGGTTCGCCATCACGGTTTTAGGTTATGTTATATGTTATGCAGTGGTGGGTTTCAACATTTTTTTAGAACCTCTTCTGTAGGTGTGGCCTGCTTTGTGGGAGTGGCTTGCTGGCCATGTGACTGGGTGGGCATG